AAACTTTTCTGATGCATAAAAGTATTTTTAATCTTAAGATGAAAATTGCTTTGCATGATAGATAGGCAAGATGTGAAAACAAAAAAAAGGGATGAGAGAAACATTGTTTTAAAAACCTTAAGACTTAATAAAAAAATTAGATATTTTGCGTATGATGGAACTGTAATGTTTACTGATAAACTGCCAAATTTAATTAACATTCGCTTACTAATTTAAAGGTTATAACATGAAAACTATAACAAGCACAAAATGGTTATGAGGTCAGTCTCAAGGACTGAGCCCGGGTTGAAACAGTTAACAGAAACACAAAATTATAACTTTTCTAATCTGAAAGTTAACATTTTCCTAAACTGAAAATGTATTTCCATTAGCTATTTACCTGCAATCACAAAAAGCTTTCTCAACTTGTACTGCTTTCTATTGCCATAAATTTTCACTTGTCACTAGCCTTGTTACTCTCACTTATTACAGCATACTAACATGCAACCCTCCACCAATAGGAGAGAGACACTATCCCTATCATAACTAGTACCCTCTCTAATCATGCAAATGTTAGTCACTTTGAGTTTTGTTATAACTAACCAAACCAATTCATATCAGAAGTGGGGAGGAAAGGTGAGAAGAGGTAAATATCTATCGGAAAAATGTTAACTTCCGATACGACATATCTTACTTTCTCTGACAAAAACTAGAATCTGTTATTGAACTGGTGGAGGGCCAGTGAGAGGATGATTCCCTTTAAAAATTGCCCAAAGGAAAACCATAAGGTGTGATAAGAAATTGTGATTGCACCACTTCTGAGCCAGGTATACACTTCACCCTTTAGTAATGTGTTACCAAAATGTAAAGGGCAGGAACTTGCAGGGGTCCTAAAAAAATACAGAAATAATGGGGGCCCCTTGGTGTACAATGGCTAGGGAATGACAGACCATAAAGAGGAGTTCAACCTCAACCAACACCTAGCAGCATTTGGATTGTACATCATGTCCATGGTAGGAAGAGGGTCCTTTACCTTTCACCTTAAAAAATAGTACTGGCAGGGAAGAGGAGCTCCCATACCAAGAACCCATCTCTGCACTTCCAACACAACCAAAACCACTGAGAACCAACATCCAGCAGATGGTAGGAAGGAGGAGAGCCCAGTTATGTGTTCCTCTCTGGTCCAAAACCTGATGGCATTTAGTATTATACATGAGGTCCATGGTATGAAGTGTGTCACACCATTGACACCTGCAGAATGCCACTGCCCTACTCTCAAACTGAGAAGAACATGTCTCTCCATGGTCCATCCACCCCAGTGGCTAGGAACTGGTAAGTGGCAAGGACTCCCAAACTCCACAATAAGAGAATCCAGAGGACCGCAGCACCTGAGACAGTGCAATGGCTGACCATGATTCCCTATATTGAAAAGCAGGGCAATCATGTTAAAAAAGTTTATCATCCAACACCTGTCAGATTCTGGAATTGTACATCAGGTCTGCAGTAGGATGAGCATCAAATGCCATGGATCATCAGAGATGGGCAGAGATGTTTCTTTACTTGTGTTAGTTCATGAGTGTACGATTTGGGACAAACACTCTTATAAATTAAAAGATTGTGAGGAACACCTACGAGCAGTACAATGAATCTCCCCACCTCAATGGTTGGCAGAAAATGTGAGATGTTATTTTGTCTTTTTTTCTACAATTTATATCGATGCATTGAGGACATATTGGACGGAGTCAATCAACCAGCACCTGGTGGAATTGGGAATAGTACGTCATGTCCACGGTAAGAAGAGTCTCAACTTCACAGTCACCTCACAAAATTCACTAGTCGTACAGTGTGGATTTAAGACTAAGTATACATCGCTACAAAGTGGGATCCAAATATGCGATAAAGGCCCCTGCAGAGTACTTACCACCGCAGATAAACAGTTAGAGCACTGATGATGTCCCATGAAGAAAGATGGAAATGTGCAGCCAGGGACATGGTAAAGTGACAGATCTGATGGGAAGAAAATATTAAAATTAAAAGGCGAAAATCATTAGGAGAAAGAGAAGAAAATGAACTGGTAAATACAATCAAGAAGGGTGATGGGGAAAAGGTCACAGTTGAGGTGAAGATTTCATGGAAGAAACAAACAAACTCAGGAATCATGAAAGGGAGCAGTACGTGTCATATTCCCTCAGAGAGCCATGACCTGACAAAGGTCAGGGGTGGAACATAGAAATTGGCAGATAAACACAGGAAATAACATTCCTGAATAACAAACTCCAAAAGGGTAAAAAAAAGTTAGGAGGAGGCTGTCCAAATCCCAAACTAAAAAAAATCCCTGAAAAACCTTGTTATGATGATCATCAGATTGTTCTGATTGTAGCATTAAAGTGGTTAAATCCCAGAGTCGTCACTTCATGGGCCGAGAATCATGGTGTCAACCCAATAGACGTGGCGGGAATTCTGCTGCTGCAATAAGAGCAGTCGTAGTCATGACTATCCAAAACTGTGAGTGCATAACTCCCAAAATTGAAAGAGAAGATAAATAAATCATAACTTTCCAAGAAATGGAACGAAAATTTAAAATAAATTAACTGAAGAAGGTGGTCATGAAAGTAAAAATGTGTGGATAGGTTACTCAAATCACGAGCGTAAAACATATCTAGTCAGTACGAATACCAATCAAGAAGTGATTAACATGTGCATAATTAGAAAGGGTGCTAGTTTTGACAGGGTAGAGTCACACTTCTACTGTTGAAGGGTTGTTGCATGATCTTTTGTATGTCAGTATGCAGTAATAAGTGGGAGTAACAAGGCTGGTGGTGAGAGAAAATTTGCACCGATAGAGGGCAGTGCAAGTTGAGAAAGTTTTTTTGAGAAGAGGTAAGATATTGTATCAGAAAATCGACATTAATGGCAGTACAAAATGATCACTTTGTT